GCTGTCTAATCTACATGTCATTTTAAAGTAGGTATCCTGGCAATGTCTGCTGTGAAGTTATTTCAAATTAAAGTTTTATGACTGTTTGGGGTGAGGGACGTCTAATGCAATGCAAAAAACAGCAGCCCTTTAAAGACTACTTACAGAGATGATTAATCTGTTTTATCCTCTTCTTTCCCAGGATATGTGACCTTTGATATTGAATTCTACTATTACTTACTCAGTTTAGTATACCAAGTTAACAGAAAATTCTTTGATGGTTGCCTTTGGTTTTCCCCCAATGAATACTAAAAGGGCCTATGTTATGCATGTTTGTGATTAAGCAATCAAAGCTGTCTAGACAACCCTAAATAAGATTCCCTAGAAGAAAAAGCCTCCACTGGGACTCTCTATTTTTATCCAATTGCTTTATACTATTTTATCAGTGTTAAAAAGACTGGATGGCTCATGGAACTGTTAAGATACTGAGAGCCTTTCACCTCTAGTTACACAAGTTCAAATCTAACCCAAGCCAGCCCCCACCGCAGGCCTCTGTATATGTTGTTGTAGCCATGTTGGTCCCAAGATATCAGAGACACAAGGTGGGTGAAGTAATACCTTCACTGGACTGTTCAGAAGTTGGTCCAATAAAAGATATTACCTCGTGCACCTTGTCTCTTGCTAGGCAAGACATCCAAGTCATCAAAAAATAACTGAATCTGGTTCATATTTACTTTATCCGTGGCCAGTTTACAGACTTATCAAATAAATTGCTTTTCCACATTCTAGTTGGTGTCTGCATTATGTCTGACTGCATGTTCTACATGGCTCCCCCCCTCCACAAATACACATACCAGATGCAAAGCATGATATACCTGTTCTACAACAGTTGTTGAACTGCTGATCATGACCATATCTCAGGACTTTAGAAGTATGCTAAAACCTTTGTAGATTGTTGAGACATTACCTATTTTACCTGTTGTTACTGACAAACAGTAGGAACAGCAATATTTCTGCATATGTCCCTACGTGAGATTGACTATTATTTTGAAGCCTTATGTAATTATCTTTTGTTGTACTGGCATGAATTTACACCACATACCTCAGCTAGGTGATGAGGTAACATGTAAGCAACCACCCATACGGATTACTATATTCTCCACCAGTCTGAGTGAGAAAAGTCATATTTTTAAAGCTCTTGAATACCTTAGTAATGGATGCAACAGAAAAAAAACAAAATAGATTTTGGTGGGGGCAGCTTGTGTAACATCTTAAAACGGCAGTTTTAACCTGTCCGTTGTGAAGATCTCAACTGCTCTTATTAGCAGACGCTCATTTTACACCCAAGTTTACTTATGTACTGAACACCTGCTTTCCCTATTTCTCACTATCTTGCCATCAGAAATGCTAAATCTTGGAACTTGCAAATTTTACACACACAGGAATTCATTTATTTAATCACCTTGATCTCCGGTTTGGGATGTTCCTTATTTTCTGTGTCTTCAGAGTACATTTGGTAGTTCCACAGGTATGCAGCTGTATTTTGATCACCAGTATATGCACCAAATTCTCCCATTCCCCAAATCACACACAGTGTTGCTATATACATCTGCTTACTGCTTGTGAGTAGTCACTACACAAGATTCACAGGAAACCTTTTTGGAGGGGTCAGAGGAATACTCATAAGAACATTGTTTTTCTTTGCTATCAACCTACTTTCTCCAAGATTACAAGGGGAATTAATTGCTTGGATTTATTTTTGAAGAGCAGCCCAGGAATACAAAGTCTGTTTAAGGGGTAAAAGAACAGTATGACAATAAACATACGGTTACGAGGAGATTACATCTTGGGGCCTCAAACTTGAAAATGGCCCATTTTAACAAGTTGAGAGTATCATCTCAAATTATTTCCAAAACCATGTCAGAGATGCCATTAGGCTTGCTAACTTATTGAGTTACGTAAAACAGCTCCTTCTGCATTTACACACTTGCTACTCAAGACATTACTGGCTACTGTGAACAAAAGCCAAAGGGCCTGATCCTGAAACATACCAAGCATCCACAACTTCCACCAAAATGAAAGTGTTGAGGATAATCCATATCTATCAAGATAAGTAGAGCCCTGTGTGGATACAAGATTTGTATCTGCATCCGATCAGCAAACATTGTCTGCGGATATTTGCTGGTTTGCAAGACTCTAAAGATGTAAAACAAAGGTACTAGTTAACTACAATTTGCTATTCTGATATACACTCGGGGTCTTTTTTTTTTTTTTAAATTAAGTACAAAAGTATCATTTACCCAATTCCAGCCAAGATAAATTCTTGTCTTCTTCCTTCCCGAATTTCACCCCCACCAGCTCATCACCTGCTTAAGTTAACTCTGTACATAAATATGTTGCCACCTTTGGGAAAAGAAAATTTACTCGAGAAGAGTAACTTTCATGGTTGACCTTCAATCTTGTGCTGCAGTTTCTCCACCACTGTTCTATTTCTCATCACAGTAGAAGACAGTCAGTGATTGAATGACTGCTTATGATACTAAAACTAAAGAAACAATATCTGACAAAATATTCATTAGGGAAACAAACAACACAAAACACCCCAGCCCATGTCTGAGATTATGATTAAATCTCTAGGTCTGAAAGGGACTTCCTTCACTGCTAGTAGACCCTGTTCTTTAATTGGCTGAAGGAGCTGCTACTGAGCAAGTCAGACCATAAGAACGGCCATACTGGGTCAGACAAAAGGTCCATCTAGCCCAGTATCCTGTCTTCCGATAGTGGCCAATGCCAGGTGCCCCAGAGGGAATGAACAGAACAGGTAATCAACAAGTGATCCATTCTCTGTTGCTCATTCCCAGCTTCTGGTAAACAGAGGCTAAGGACACCATCCATGCCCATCCGGACCAATCCATCCATCACTGAAGACCAGTAGCCTCTTCTGGTTCAGGGAGTGAGATCTGGCACTAAACTCACATGAAAGTGTAGAGCATTAGGCCTTGTGATTTAATTTTAGGGCATTTGATTCCTGGAAGTTTGGTTCAAAAGCTAAGCAGACACTATCTACTTTAAAAAAAATAAAGCATTAAGAAGTACCCCAGTCATGCTACAGTTTTCTTATATTACTATTGTTTATGTAACAATTTATGCAAGTGGGTGGCACTAAAAACACCGGAAGAGACTTTAGAGACCAGGATAATCTATTCAGTTGAAATACATAATACTTAGAACTTGCATAGTGCTTTATATTTTCAAAGTGTAAGTCAGACTTCAATCTTTTGTTAAAAGCCCATTTGTTAATATTTGTTCCTATATAGTTTAGCTAGTTAGTTGGCGTGGGTGGGAGTCGTCAAAACTATTTATATTTATCAATAAATATGCCAAATAGAAGACGTTCCCCAAAACATTAATTGAACAAAAATTTCTCTGGAGAATTTGGACAGCTCTATACAGAAGAGGTGGTCATAAATCTTTAAAAACAAAAACTACACACATAAAGGTCTTGTCTGTTGCATGGATAAAGATCACATGGTATTTTGCATAAGATTAAGGATTTGTCCTTGTGTTATTGGCCCAAGATTTCCCCTGTGCACCAGTTGGTTATTGGCCTCCATCAGAGAGGTGGCTGCCCAACACTTCAGCTGTATGCATTCAATTTTAAATTCTTTTTTAAAGAAAAAAGCTTTTAAATTATTATTATTATTGTTGTTATTGAAGATGCAGATAAACATTTTAGACAAAAATGATTTTTTAAAAGTGTACCAAAGAATAATCGCACATTTGGGAGCATTCAGTTTTTATCCAGTCTATCATTTGGCATATACAGTATACCCATAGGTTAACTGAAACGTCATTTTATTAGAGTGTTATCCTGATAGACTAGAACAGTTTCCCACATATCTCCAGCTCAGATTCTCATCTATTTCCAAGTATAATCAGAAAAAAATATGTTTCCCTCCTGCTTGTACCTCAGAGTACACCTCTGCTCTCATTTTTCTATTTTAACTTTGTAATTCTTCTTTAATGGCAATGATAGTGTTCTGAAGACACAGTACAAATCTTACAATGCAGCTTTGTATTGTGGCTTGTACTAAGTGTTTATCCAATAGCTCCCTCTCTTGCCCTTTCCTAAAGGGGTCCTATTCTCTTCGTCCTTACATCTGTTTAAGACCAATATAACCCCATTGGCTTTAGTGGGGTTACACTGGGAGTCAGTGAGAGCAGAATCAAGCCCATAGTCTTTTATGGGCCTCCTTACTGTCACTATTCTGATATTAGCACCAACACAGATGTTCAGCAGTGTTTACCAGAGGCTCTCTACAAGCAATTTTCCACTGTTTTCAACACTGACAGTTGCCACAGTGGGTGTAAGGTAGACAAAGCTCCCATGCGGCTGTTGGTGCTTTTACCCCTATGGCACTGTGAGGCCATAAGTGCTGGAACTAGGCGTGCTGGGGTGCAGTGGGTTCCATCAATAACAGGGTTTACAGTTGGTTCAGTGGTGGCTCTCAACACCCCCGCTATAAAAACTGTTCCAGCACCCCCATGTGAGGCCACAGAGGCGACAAAAAGCACTGCCAACTGTAAGCACCTCGTCTACACTAAGGCTCCCACTGGCGCTACCCTAGCGCCAGCCGCCTTGCGCCAGCAGGGGGCGGTGACGGGGGATAGGAAGTGGGGGAGGGGGGAGAGAGGTTCCCCCACCGGAGGCAGGCGATGGGCAGCCCCTCCCGGGGCCATGGGGATCCGGCAGGGGAGAACAGGACCGCGCACCGGGGCGGCGGGCTCAGGGGACGCAGGACCCCAGGAATCGGGGGAGCGCCGGCTGCCAGGAGGCGGGTAACGATCCCCGCAGCATGCTCAGCGCGACCCCAGGGCCCCGAGAAAGCCGCCTCTCCGCGCAGGACCGCGCCCGCCCCGGGGCTAGCAGCGGGCACTGTCCGGAGCCCACGCACTCACACAGGGGGTGGGGCCTCGGCTGCCCCAGGGCCGGGGCGGGGCTCCCCGAGCGGGACGCTCACCTACTCTCCTTGCTGCGAGTGCCCGGTGTGCGCAGACCAGGCTCCGGCGCGACGGCTCCGGTCCCTTTAAATCCCCTCAGCAACTGAGCACCGCCGCTGCCGCGCTTGGGATTTATCCCCGCCCGCCCGGTGGGAGCGGGCGGCGCGAGCAGAGCCCCGCCCCAATCCTGCCCTCTCGGCCAGACCCCGCCCTTTTCCCGGACACCCCAGCCCCAACCGAAACGCTTCCGCCTACCCAAGCCCCGCCCCTTCTGAGGGAAACCGCGCCCCCAGTCTCCGCGGGTCCACACCTGGCCCTCACATTACCCTCGCCCCCTCTGAGCCAGGCTCGTCCTTTCCGAGACAGATCCTGACTCCTGTTCTCATCGCAAACATCTCTTCTGAGACCCCCCCAACCTTTCCCATAAACATATTCCACTCCCTCCCCCACCCTCCATCGCCACCCAGAAACAGCCTGCCCTTTGTGGCTTGCCCCAAACTCCCCCCTCTCCCAGTGCCATATTAAGATAATCCACAACTTCCTCCCCACACACACACCATCACCTTCAACCCTTGCTTGAGGTAGCTGGAGCAGGGACCATCACTGCTGGCCTGGGGAGGCTGCAGTCTGACCTCACCTGACCACTGCTCCTGGGCTACAGTCTGTCCTGGAGGAAGGACTTGGTATCCATACACCCAATGTGAAGGTCCCTGCTCACATCTCCCGAATGGAAACATGATGCGGAGTCAGCAAGCAAGCACCCACATCCACACACCCACCCAAGAGCAGCAGGTTTCAGAATATAAAACCCTATATCCTTGCCCACCCCTTTTCCAAACTCTACCTGTTTCCCCATGTTTGTAGTTCTACAGTAGAGCAAGAAGTAGGGTGATCAGACAGCAAGTGTGAAAAATCGGGACGGGGTGCGGGGTAATAGCTGCCTATATAAGAAAAAGACCCCAAAATCGGGACTGTCCCTATAAAAAGGGGACATCTGGTAACCCTAGCAAGAAAGAGCAGAGGGATTGAAGCACATGGGCAATATGGGAGCTCTGTAAACTAAAATTCAAAAAATCCCTTACATTACAGTTGCTAGGAAAAGTTTGAAAATAGACTCTAATAAAATGAAGAAACTTTAGGAGGTAAAATCTTCATTAGTGCCCCCAATCTGTTCTCCTTCCCTACCCATGACATTGCTACACCCCACCCTTACCAGACAGAGAAAGCAACCACCCACCTTTTCCAAACTCCTCTCCATTCTTCACCTTCTTGCTTGTGTGAGAGGTTACCCACCTTTATCTCAGACTCACCACTCCACCCACATGGGAGAACCCCAACCCAAAATACTCTCCCCTTTTGCCTGGGTGAGAAACCCTCAGAGCCGTAACTAGGTATTTTTGCGCCTGAGACAAGAATATAAAATTGCGCCCTCCCCCAGGGCCGGCTCTTCGGTGTCAATTTGGTGGCGGGTCCCTCAGTCCCTCTCGGAGGGAAGGGCCTGCCGCTGAAGAATGAATGAAGCGGCGGCAGTAGAGCCTGTGATTTTGGGGGGTCTAACTCATGATTTTTGACTGCTTGGGCTGGTAATGTTGCTTCCAAGATGGTCTTTGGTTCCAGTCCAGTTCCAATCCAGAGAGGGACTCACAGGGGAGGGAGGTGCTGGATATCATGTGTCCTGAGAATGCTGGGAGTTCAGGTTTGCAGGACAGGACCAGGGGTGGCAGGTTTGTAGAAGAAATTTTGGTGGTGCCCAGAACCCGCCCCCAACCAAACTCCGCCCCCCCCCCACATGCCCAAGGCTCTGGGAGGGAGTTTGGGTGAGGGAGGAGCTCTGGGGTGCAGGCCCTAGGCTGGGGCAGGGGATTGGAGTGTAGGCTTTGGGAGGGAGTTTGGGGATGTGAGAGGGTGCAGGTTCTGGGAGGGAGTTTGGGGATGGGAGGGTTGCAGAGGGATGGGGGTGCAGGGGTGAGGGCTGTGTGTTGTGGCTGCAGATGAGGGGTTTGGAGTGTGGGAGGGGCTCAGGGCGAGAGTAGGGGTGAGGGCTCTGTCTGGGGCTGGGAATGGGAGGTTTGGGGTGTAGGAGGGGCTCAAGGCAAGAGGAGTGTGGGGGGTGAGGGCTCTGTTTGTGACTGGGGATAAGGTGTTTGGGGTGCTGGAGGGGCTCAGAGCTCGGGCAGAGGGTTGAGGGTGTGGTGTGGGGGGGTGAAAGTTCTGACTGGGGGTGTGGGGTCTGGGGTGGGGCAAGGCTGGGGATGAGTTTGGGGTGCAGGCAGGCTGCTCCAGGACAGGGGCCAGAGAGGACTCCCCCCAGCCCTTTCCCTGCCAGCAGCAGCGAGCTCTGGGGGAGGAGTCCCCCTTTCCTGCCCCCCCCCCCAGCAGCACACTCACCCCCACCACTGTCACTGCATGTGCTCCTAGGGCCCCTCTCAGGTCCAGGAATCTCCCTCGCCTCCCCCGTGGTGGGTGCCAGAGGGTGCTGCATGCGCCTCCTCCCCTGCTGTTGCCCCTGACTGTAGCCTCACTGGGGGTGAGGGATGGGGCTGCCTCCTTGCCCAGCATGGGGCAGGAGCGGTGACTGCGGGTGGGAGGGTCCCCCTGTGCTGGTGGAGGGTCCCATTGGAAAATGAAAGGGTCTGAGGGGGAAGGGCAGGCTCAGAGTCAGTCTGCCCTGGCAGTCGAGATCGGGGGGCACTAGGACCCTGTGGCAGCAGTTGCTGCAGGGAGGCAGCATGGAGCTGCAGGGGAGAGACAGGGACTCTTTGCTCCCCGGCCAGGGAAGGCGGGTGTGGGGGGGAACAAGTCGCGGCCAGGGGACAATCGGGGGAGGCACGGGGGGGGGCAGCAGGTGGGGCCGGGGGGGGAGATCACCCAGGTGATAAATATCTCCGTGCCAATGGCTTTTTTTTTTTTCTCTGCCGCTTTGTGCGCCTGAGGCAAGTGCCTCACTCGGGCACTGGAAACCCTATAGACTTCTTCCCCTCACGCCTGTGTGCAATCACTCCACTCCTGTCCTAAATTCCCCCATCTCTAGCCCCAGAGAATCCTCCTCGCTCCTGGCTTGTCCCCAACTGTTCCCCTCTTGCCTTATTAACTCCCTTACTTTATTTGCAAGTAATATTATCATTTCCCCTCCCAAAACTTTTAGTCCAGCAGTGAATAAAGCAAACACACATACACTTTGTATGCAGAGTTGCTGTAGTCATGTCAGTCCCAGGTTATTAGAGAGACAGTGGGTGAGGTAATATTTTTTTATTGGACCAACTTCAGTTGGTGAGAGAGACAAGCTTTCGAGTTTGCACAGAGTTTGAAAATAGACCTGAAGAAGAGCTCTGTGTAAGTTCCAAAGCTTGTCTCTCTCACCAACAGAAGTTGGTCCAATAAAAGATATTACCTCAGCCACCTTGTCTCACACATACACTTTGTCAGGCTAAGACACTCACCCTGAGTGTGTGTGTTCAGTCTGATGTGTTCTCTGTCACAGGTGCTACTGTTACTGCCTGGAGCTGGCTAATTTCCTGGTTTGAGGGGGCTTTGGCCCTTCCCTTACATTTTGATGGCATCTATGGCACTGTGACAAGGAGGAAGTATTATACTGGGAAATGTACATTAATCTTAACATTGGCTGACAGCCCTGAGGAGCCTGACAGCCCTGTTAATACCACTTGGGTCATTTGCAAGCTAAACAAATAGGCATCCTATGAGTCTGGTGGAGTGCAGCAGTCATGGTTACACATTAGAGCTCTTTGAAAGTTACAATTTTTTTCATTTTACAGGCACAGCAAAGGAGATGCAGCCCAGCAAGAGAGGAACAAAGGTGCTTTAAACCATCTTTATGCCCTTGGGTTTCTGTATTGCTCTGGGAGCCAATATACAACCCAGCATAAACTAGGACAGCCAGAGGATGCTTTAATTTATCGCAGCCTCCTCAGGGCTGCTTATGGACTGTTCCACAGTCTGGAGCAGCTCAGAATCTCTGTACCAGTGTGCACTGTGGAGAATCTCCTCTCTGAAATGCCCCCCAGTTCAGAACAACTGAGGGGGCAACTAGTGGAGAGGCAGTAAAGACTGGGATTTGGGGACAGACAATGTTCCATAATGTTTTGCTTTATTAGCAGTATCAACCAAACTGAGTATTTTTGCAAGTTTTCAACACAAATACCACCATTGTTCAATACATAGCCCATTTTTGCTTATTTTCACTCAGAAATGCTCTTCATCCCTCCAAAATGTGCATACTTTAGTGACATTTTCTGCAAAAATGGACCCATTTAGAGGAAAATGCAAAAACCCTTGCATTTCAAGTAGTTTGACATTCTCAAGCTCTTTCTTCATATGAACCAAATGTTAATATAGAGACAGAAGGAGCAGAATGCATCCATGAGACTATGAGTGATCATGCAGACCCTTTCACCTTCCTTTCATGATTACAGAACATCCCTGTGAAAACTATGTGGAACACTAATATTAGGAATGTATTTTTAGCAACACTTTAATGTGTTTTAGCTTTTGGGAATAAGGAGGAGGGGGAACCAGAACCAAGTGACTGGCCAGCTATGGATCCCTAGCAAGTACCCCATAGTCTCTGAAGACAAACCAAAACCCCACATTTAAATATCCTCAAACTTTGGCAAAGTTTGGATCCAAATCCAAATTTTTCACTCTAGGTCTGTTTCTAGTTTAAACACAGATGTTGACAAGACCAAGAGTGTTTCCACCAAATTAGCTTGAAATGGTTTTCAGTTGTATTTAAAACCCAGTTTGGGTAGCACAGCTCCCAGCTCACTGTAAGCAAAGCCTTGGAATTATGCTGCCAGAAAGCAGCCTTCTTCCTTCCACTTTCTGGTTGCCATGGTGCACTGTCAGTATAAGATCATGTAGAAGAGGGCAGCCACCTCTAGCCCAGATAAGTAATCACTATTTTTCTAATTAATTAATGGCCTTATATAATTGTACCTCTTGTAAAGTAAATTATTAACACATGTGCAGGTATCTAAAGAAAACATCATGCATCACGCCTGTTAGTTATTTTGTACTAGCACGGATTGATTTTGTATGTAGGCTAAAATTAATGAGCCAAATCCTGAGGTCCTTACTTAGTTAAAAAACTCCAGTGACTT